AAGGATTCCGGTCGGCTCTAGGACAAAACCTATCGCGATTAACAAGGATTCCGATCGGCTCTAGGAAAAACCTATCACGATCAACAAGGACTTATATTGCCTACTGCCTAAAAACCTAGAAAGGTTGCCAGCCACCTCAGGAGTCACCATGGGCCCTACAATAGACAGGCACCTGATCAAAATTACAAACCTGACCATTGCGAAACTCTCCTGGAAGGACTAGGTACACGCAGTCAGACCGACGAATAACGGACAATCGATCCCAAAATCCAGACACAGATCCCTAGCTATAAAACTAGGAAGGTCAAGGCACAGGAGCTCTCAAAAGTAGCTCGTGTCAAAATTAGATGTCAGACAACACTGGGAATTGATGAAGATGGTCAAAAGAGCTCGGAGAGACTGACGGTAACTGGGTCCTTCGGAGTAGGCAATCAGGCAAGAACTTGTAAAGCTTAATAGTTAGCGAGTACGTTAATCCAATGACAATGTCAGCTGACTGGTCATTTTGGAAACGAACAACTCTGGCTATTTGGAGCACAAGAATATCCTTAGATTTGAACAGCTGAGTAAGGCAGATGCGTTTGGGTGGGAGTGTTGAAGGGGTGATTAGTCAACCGCATCTGGGTGAGGATTATATAGCCTGCAGACTTCCCACCTTTCTAGGCTGTTTATCAATCGACAACTAAGGATCATATTGTACACCAAATATCACATCGAGCCTCCACCAGGAGCATACCTGTGTTTCCCCTCTATCGACTGGCCTGTAACTCCAGTTCCGTAAGCTGTCGTGCTTGTCGCGCCCGGTGAGCTCGTGTCGTTATGGTATTAACAGGTTCCGATAGAGGGGCCTTAACAAGCGCTCCCGTTGCGAAGAGGCCCTCCGGCCTTAACAGAGTTCGCCTAGATTTATACAAGTTAGCCTTAACGAGTTCTTTAGAATTAGGATTGTTCTAAACCCTCGCTACACGCAGCTCGTTGCTCACGCATAACCCCAGAGTAGGCGAGCCTGAGGGTGTCCTGTTAGAGGCCTAGGACGCGTCCTCATCCACCTAATAATAAGTCAGGCTTCCGGATCCAGCTGCGAGCTAGATAGACCCCTATCGGATGGTTTTCGTATCCCTTTGTATCCCTCAAGAGGCCTCTGAGACGGTTTGATCGCAGAAGTTACGAGAACCACTTTCATTTATTGCAAAGCTAAAGAAGAAGAGCTATCTACGACGCGTGCGCGATGTCCAAGACTTCGACAGTTGACTTAGTCACGTGACTATCATTCAGGAGACAGGCCACAGGCCTGGAACCATAACAATACCCCCCTCCTCCCAGTTTAAGGGGTCAAGAGATCCTTAGGGGTTCATGAAGGATATTCCTGCCTGTCTTCTCCTCGTATTTGTCCAGGGCTATTGTATCTTGTACGCACCAGTCTGCCTCCCAGCTAAGTTCGGCGTATCCCTCCCATCGGCAAAGGAATTCCCTCTTCAGTGGTCCGCCTCTACCTCTGCCTCGTTTAACGCGGTCGTCTAATATCTCCAGCAGGGCCCATTCATTGTGGCCGTCTACGTCAATGGGATCGGGCTGTACGTCGTCTTGTCGCTGGCTTGGGAATGGGTCGTTGGCCGTGGGGCGTATGAGCATATTATGGAATACGTTATGGATGCCCACTGGGGTATTCAGGCGGCAGGCGCTACGTCCGACGACCTCTGTAACTGTGAACTGTTCATGGAGTCGAGCTAACTTGCGTTTACGGTTGTCTGGGAGCTTGATATTGCGCATGTCTAGCCAGACTTTGTCGCCGACCCTGTAGGCTGGGGCTGGGTCGCGGTGGCGGTTGGCAATATCCTGTTGGCGTTGTTGAGCGGAGGCCATAGCTGCCTAGGCGAAGTTAACGCAGTCTTAAAGCTTCCTAATCTTTGCTTCGGCTGCTTCTGCTGGACTACGTGGTAGGCGGTCGGAG